CAGTGGGTTTCATGGCCGAGCATGGAATCGAACTTTGGTCTCCAGAGTCATAGTCCCACACTCAAATTACTTTGGTCCTAGCATAAAGGGGATCATCACTGAGGCTTATGAAGTTATAAATGATGTGGAGAAAATTGAGGTTAACCTTTTTTCCATTCCACATAACACTAGAGCTTGACTATTTCATGAGGCTTATTAGCAATAGATTCACAACAGACTAAAAGGAAATCCTTCCTCCTAGAAAATATCTGCAACTTAATTGTGTGGCCATGGGATGTCGTGATGACCAGTACTAGATGGTTTGTAATGGAGGATAGAACTATCACTTGGTGTTGGCTATATTGTAAAAACATGATAGAACAGCAGCTCTAGAGTGTGATCTCCTTCCTCTTATATATGCTGCAGGATATGTTTATGAAATGATCTCTCTTAAATATTGGAGGCAGTACTATTGTTTACTAAGGTGAGTTCATAGATGTTGCCTTCACTTGTTGAAAAACTCCTAGCTACAGAGTAGTTTACTTTTGGCCAGAGCTGTGTGTCTGCCATTATTCTTTGGAAAATGGCAAAAAAATAATAATAATTGATTGCAGAATTAAGATTCTTGAGAGTCTCTGCTTTCATTTGTATATCTAATCTTTGTAGCTGCAAGTCACGTATGTGAAATGCGCGGTCTCAGAAGCTAGAAACATGGCTGAATAAACAGTCCAAGAATTGGTCTTCAATGTTCAGCATAGCCTCTTTTTCTTCTCTGTGATAACAAAATCAGATTTAAGTTAAGCAAAACAGCAAATGTTTCAGAATAGATTGTGGAGGCTGCTGCTCTTCTTGGAAGATAATTTGGATTTCCTGGCTATATGAATTGTTCCTTTATGTTTTAGCAGAGTCTTGCCTTTAAGGACTGGGGTTTCTCCAACCTCAGCTGTCAGGGTACTAATTTAAGATGCAGTGATGTCTGTATCTAAGGTGGCCAAACTTCACCACCATTTTCACTAGTCAGATTGGAATAATGTTGTGAGGACTGCAGTGCTCTACAAAGTTATAAATAATATAAATCGTAAATGCACTCTTTGTATGGCATCAGCAGAACTGCAGGTGCTTTGAGAAGACCTTGTCTTAATAGGAACAGGATAGGTTATTTGAGGAGGCTCTTTGAATGCGGAAAATCCTATAGGTGCTTCAGATCTGACACCGGTGGAGCTACTGTGAATGGGAGCTGCAGAGCTTTGTAGCTGTTGGCAGAAGGTCAGGATTTCCAGTTGGATTCCAGGCGTTCACTGCTGGACTCGTAAAGTAGCTCTGGAAGAGTTTACTTGTTGCTATTTCAACTTCCGTTGCGGGGGAACAGGATGACATTTTGTCTGGACTCACTGGGATAATTAGAGACAACCTATGAGCTTCAGCAGAATGTGCCTGTAATTTTTATTTTTTGAAAAGGATTGGCACTGTGGTGGAACTTGAAGCAGGAAAAAAAAATGTTAGATCAGTGTGGTTGGCAAGGATGAACCTCCCGAGGAGGAGGAGGAGGAGGAGGAGGCAGGAGCAGAAGAAACTCTGACTCCACTGCTCAGAGCAGAACTGGATGGAGAGCTGAGCTGGACTTTCCAGGTGCTTTGGAAGAAGGACGTTTCTAGAACAGATTAGACTGGAAATCTTGTGTTGCGGACGCTCAGCAATTTCCGAAATGTCTCACGTAAACACTCTGGTCAAGTTCTGCTTTGTCTCTCTTTTGGACTTGGTGCATATTTACAGTTTGAGAACGGTTCACTGCAGACTCGACTGTGCAAGAGAGTGAAGGGGGACAGTGTAGTCCAAGTCAGATTTTTGGACTGCAAGTTCTAGTCCCCTCGCTCTCACCCCACAGTAAAACTTTTTCAAGCTGTTGTTTTGTCCTCTTGGATAGAGAGAGACATACAGATATCAGTTTTAACAGCCTTGTCCTAAGCATGGTTACGCAAATGTAAGTGAATTTAAGATTGCAGATCAACAATGCAATTTTATGCCTACTCCCAGGTAAGTATAGGATCAGAGCCCAAATTGTGTAAACTCCCTCATGGTCCCTACTGCTGTGCCATCTGAAAAGACTAAAGGCATTTTTGCTTGATTTGTCGTCTATCCCTGACCTCTGGTGGCATCTTCCCCTTTTTGACTTAGAGAAATCTTGTCATAGCATTCACATTGCAGGCTGTATTGCAATAACTGCTCACTGTTTGGGTAAGATGCTTCCAGGGAACACAGCTGTTTTCCAAGAGGCCATGAGATTATTTGGATTCTAATGCACCAGCATGGAATGAGCTCTTAGTCAAGCTGTTTCAGCCTATGGGTCATGGCCACAAACCTTGCTCCTGGGAATTAGGGAAGAGTCATAAGGCCAGCTCTGTTTGTTCTCTACTTGCATAAAAGCTAGGTTTTACATATATATATATATATATATA